TGAAGTGTTGGAATGAGACGGAGCTGGGTAGCCAGGAGTGCTTCCTACTATGTCCAGGCTCTCCATCAGTGAGCCAGATGCTGCCTTGGGAAAGGGTGTGGGGAGTATCCTGCACCAGTGGTCCCCACTGCCCCTGTTAATAGGTTGCCTGGACAGTCCCATCTCCAAGCTCCATGTTTCTGGTGATCTCCCACCTGCCCTCCTCACTGCCAAGCCAACCTAGGAGGAGGACGGCACCACCAGCCAGCGCAGGCACTCACCTCTTTCATGATGGGATCCTTCGGGTCTTTGGTTTCCACGATACACGGCTCAATGAAATACCCGACTTTGTCATCACACTTCCCGCCTGCCAAGATGGTGAGGTTGGGCGACGTCTGGGCATGCTGGATCCACTTCTTAATCCGCGCAAAAGACTAAAACCCGCAAAGCAAAGGGGTCAGAAGGGAGGTCTTGCCCGATGGCAACACAAACAAGGGATCTGCCTGAATGCTCCAGTGAATGACTTTGTGACCTTCACCCGTCTCATACGGGAAGGCTAATGCGGACAGTGTTGGACCCATGTCCCTGAATCTGTACCCAAGAGGACACCTCTTGGGAGATGTGATGGTGCCCAGGTTACATCTTACATACTGCAGCTGCCCTCAAAAGCCAGCCAGCAGAAGCCACAGCCCCAAGTATGAGACGGGTGCAAGTTGGAAGGTGGCCAGCCTGTACTGCAACATGCAGGGTGACCAGCTGTGCTTTTCTATTTAAGAACAGCATCAAGTGCAGTCCCAGTGGCCAGCGTTTGGCTAGCCAGCGGGGTGCCAGGCATGCACGGGACTTCCCAAAGCCTTCAGAACGAGGGGCGCGGCCATGCCAGAGGCACCCTTGCCCCTTACCACCAGAAAGCACAGCTAAGCCAGTGCCTGTCAGCTCAGAGAAGCACAGCAGGGGCCTCTGTAGGAAAGAGAGCCCATGTGTGGGGCAGGGAAAGGGATAATGGACTGATTTACTGGAAATGGGCAGACCTAGAAACTGCTGGGGAAACAGGAGGAGACCACTGGATGGGGGATCCAGCCAGAAGGCTCGGGTGAGACATGCCAGTGGGGGCTGTGGTGAGCAAGGGCACACAGACCCAGTCCAGAGAGGGGGCCCAGTTCAGAAAGCAGAGTTAGCTGATGCCTGGGGCAAAGGGGATGGATCTTACCTTGTCATCGATCACCGCAGAGAAGAATGTCTCAAAGTCCCCGGCTGGCTGCAGAGGGAAGGAGGGGAAATCATGGGAGAGCAATCCAGCTCCTTCACCCCACTCCCCTGGCCCATCACCCCTTTCCAAGCACTCCCCAGGTAACCCCAGAGGTGGGAAAAAACAGGCAGATACATCTGGGGTGCCCTAGTTTAATATTATGCACCCCCCCACTACCCCATGCACCCGCAATGCGAGCCAGCTGCTCTTTTCAATTAGGCTGCAATGAAGAGCTGCTTGCACCGTCATTCCTGCACCGCGTTGGCTACAAGTTAATTTCTAATCACTAGAAAGACGAGGGCTGGGTGGGGGGGAGAAGAACCAGTGGATAAAAAGCTCGGTTCAATAGGAATTAGCAGCCGGCTACCGCAGTCTCTAATCCCATCAGCCACCCGCTGAGCCGCAAAGCCCTGCCGCAGCCCCGCAGCTCCACTCACGTCTCCCACTTTGATCTTCCCGTGCTCCTCCAGCAGCTTCGCTTTGATCTGGGGCCACAGCAAGTCGGGGACGTAGAGGCGGGAGCAGGCCGAGCACTTCTGGCCACCATACTCGAAGGCCGAGCGCAGGGTCCCGTTCACCACGGTGGGCACGTCGGCCGAGCTGTGCACCAGGTGGAAGTTCTTCCCGCCGCACTCTGGGCTCAGGAAGAGGGAGACAAACCCCCGGGTGGGCCGTGAGAGGAGCGGGCCCTGCTTCATCACCCTGCAAGGACCTGCAGCCAGGCCCCAGCTCCCTGCACTTCAGTCCTGCCTGGTCCTACCCAGGGCTCTCCTAACCCGCCCCCCAAAAATCTCCTCAAGAGGCAGGGCTGGCTCTAATCAACGGCCTGACAAGCAGCACCAAGCATCTCCAGCAACCCTGGGAGAAAGGACAAGGTTCTCCGTACCTCTGCACAGGTACAGAAACCAGACTCACCTCAGGATAACCCAGTACATTAGAGGCAAAGATCACCCTCAAATCTTGCATCCCAACTCTGAAGTGGAGCAAGAGGCACTGTTCCCTCAGCCCTAATCGTCTCTGCTGCCTTGAACTCCCCGCAGGTCACCCCCTCTCTTATTTTTTCCCCCTCCCGAGAGCAGGACGAGGGAAGCTGAAACAGGGCCTGTCGTCTCACTGAGTCATGCTGGGCAGCCACCAATCTGTACACGGGGGAGGGAAGGTTAATAGATCCATAGATAGTTAGGGGCTGGAAGGGACCTTGTAGATCATCGGGTCCAGTCCCCCTGCACTGGGCAGCAAAAGACAACTGGGGTCAGGTGCCCGGGTCCCATAAAGAGCATTATGTGATCAGGCTGCAGAAGACCAACAGCTACAGCCCAAAAGCCCCCTCTGGAGCAGGTCACACAGCGAGCACCGACGCTGTTCTGCCGGGCTTGGAAACAGTGGGCAGGTCTAAGGGGACATCCACTTATCATCCCAGCGAGACATCCCACCTCTCCAGCTTCTGCATTGAGGAGTATTGTCCCCACCTGCGAGGCATTAGCCGTATAGAGGACAGAGCCCAGGAGTCCCTGACTTCCTGCCTCTGCTCTGAACATGAGACCATGTGTCCTCCAAGGTCGAGGATAAGGACCCAGGAATCCTGACTGCCAAACCCTCACTGCAACTTGTACTGTGCCCACCATGTTCCTCTGCGCACGTCTAGTAAGAAGAGCCCCTCTGTAAACCAGTTAGGAGCCGAGGGGTCGCTACAGCCAGACTCTTTACTGCTCATATCCCACCCAGGAGAGCACTCAGCTGGAAGGCCCCTGGTGGCCAAGTCAGGACAGGTACCTCCAGCCAGGCGTGGGAAGGTGCGGTACCGGTCCAGGTTCTCGGACACCTGCTTCCAAAGACGCTTGAAGGTCCTGAAAGGGAAAGGAGGAGAGTGAGACACCAGCAACACACACCGCCAGCTACCAGCGCTGCTGGGCAGCTCAGATCTGACCCACAAACAGGCTGGGGGAAAAGAGTCCAGCCCCGAAGCCACCGATCCATCATCTCTGAAAACCATCCCCTCCTGCTTCCCACTCTCCGGTCACACCAGAGGATTTGATCCAAACCCTTTGGTCCCTGATTCAGGTCCTGAGAAACAAGGGAGACAGGATACACCCAAGGATGGGGGGGTGGCCTGGAGGGCACACTCGGGCCAAGCACGGCTGCCTCAACCTGCAGCAACGCGCACAACAGGACGAGCCAAAAGAGACGGCAAAACCTGGCGAAGAGAAGCAGCGCAGGGAAGAACAGCGTCCGACAGGAGCTTCCCATTCTTCTCTTTCCCCCTTTCTTTTTTTGGTTCTGACTGTGACAAACCCCTGCTCTACAAAACAATAAAAATGCTAATAAACTCCCACCAGGAGCTACAGCCGCTAATACTAATTTATGAGCTTCCCACCTTTAAAGCACAATGCTCATCAGACCATGTCATCTGGCAGTTTAGCAGGGCCCCTGGATTTTAATCATCTGGCGTCTTTGGGAGCGGAGCTCCGGGCAGGGCTAGCAGAACCCTTCAAGGAAATAACTCACCCTGAAGCGCCGGCGAGAGCACGTGTTGGCAAATCTACCTGGGGAAAGGGGCACCTGCTTGCAATGCCTTTTAGTGGGATGTGGATTCCTTCACGCGGCTAATTCCCGTCCCCTTAATGCCCATCGGCAGGGGAAATGTGGAATAAATAACGCGCAGCTCGCCCGAGCGGCTCTTAAAGAGCTTTGCAACTAGTTAGCGAAAGCCTCTGAGTCTGCGGGGGAGAAGCAGGCTTGCCCTTGTCTTACAGGGAAGCTTTAACCTCTGGCTATGCCTCAGTGTCACACCACGAACGAGGACAGGATCCAGGCCCCCAAGGGCCCAGCTCTTTCCTCCCCCTGCCAGACGTGCTCCCTGCAGCCAAAGACCACTGGGAATTTAAGCCTGTCCCGACACCTAGGTCGGGCTTGATCTAGTGGGGGCCCAGCAGTTGACCGCAGCATCAACGCGAGTCTAGGTGTCTCTATGAGCAACTGTGCTGGAGGCTCCTACAACAAGGGGTTTGCCGGGCTCGTCTTAGGGGTACAAAGACCCCGTAGCTGGGGGAAGGTCTCCTCCTGGGTCACCGCCCCCTGGAAAGCAGCACCCTTCCACTTCTCCCAGGTGACGGTATCAGCATGGTGCTGGAAGACCCCTTTGTCTTAGCAGTGAAGCAAACAGGGTGGTGCAGAAGCAAGGCCTGCTCCATGTCTGCTTTCAGCCAGGAGTGCCCTGCTCCCGGTCCCCAATGAACCATCAGGGCCTGTGAAACGTTGCTGCATGGCCTCTCAGCAGAAGATACAGCCGTGCCCCACCTCTCGCAAAGGCCGGCCCTAGCCCCTTGCACTTACGGCACGCTGCCCGTGAAGTTGAGCCCAGCAAAGTGCTCGGAGCTCGTGACCATGTCTCCAAACGCAGGCCCATTGGCTGGGACGAACTGGATGACGTTGGGCGGGAGGCCAGCCTCCAGCAGAATCTTATACACGGCGTAACTGGACAGCATGGCCGTGTCGCTGGGCTTCCACAGCACCACGTTGCCCTGGGTCAAGAGGAAAACACAATGAACCAATGAATGAGGAAGGGCTCGGGGGCGTCCCACATTAACCCAGCTGTAGCACTAGAGTCCTGCCCTCAGCAACCCAACGCACGCTTGCCTCCCAGCAGGACAGGTCAGAGCACAGAGGCCCTCGGCTGTGTGCCGGGGGTCCAGGGGTCCCGAGCTGTATGGGGCTCATGCCCTGCGCGTCCCCCCCCGTCAACTCACACACATGCACATACATGCATATGCGCGCACACACACGGGGGGGGGGGGGGG